TCTAGGTTTGCCCCAATTTGAACTGACTTGTGACAGACAGGATCATCAATGAATATTACTTCAATTTCTTTTGATGGTTCAGCTCGTTCAAGTTTACTTTTTTCCTTAAATTGGGTTCGGGGATCAAGTTCATCTTCTTTGATTGGTTCCTTTCCTGGACGTTTCCCACGATCATAAATCAAATTATTGCCATATTTTTCTGATTCCACAGTCGGGTCAGATTCCATCTCGGTATTGATAAATTCCGAGTTGATGAGAGTTGAATTTTCTTGACTTTGCTTGATATTCTCCATCATGTGTATGGGTACACATGGTTCATGCCAAGGTTTGACCCACACCATTCCTCGGGCTTCGTACTGATCTCCATAATGAGTTCCTTCTCTATTGTTGGTGGGAAATTTCAAAGCATAATGAAAAATCGAGACAGTTGCACGAAGTTTGTATAAAGCTGTTCTTCCAATGATGGCATTATATTGATTTTTAAGATCCATTACCTTAAATGTTTCCATAATGACTTTGGAAGCTTGTCCAGGGATTCCGAATCGAATTGGCATAGTAATTTCACCAAGGGTCGATGTAATTGTTCTATTAAAACCTTGCACTTGATCTTTGTAGGGTTTCAACTCGGCTGGATCAATTCCCATTTGTTCGAATGTTCGCAACATTAAGATGCTTGAATATGCTCCTGTGTCCACCAACATGCGATGTATCGGTATACCACAAATGGGTGCCGTGATTATTAAGGGATCAGTATGAGGGTGAGCAAAGTAACTAGCATCATCCACATTGAATGTTATTGGACAATTATTTCGAGCGTTAATTTTATCTCGGAGGTCGGTTGTCAAAACAGTTTTGCCCGAATTGAAAGCTTTTCGAGCATACGCCTTCATTTGCCGCCGTGACTCAAACGTCACATTGCTACTATTATTGACCCGAGTGACATAATGAGAATTATCAGGATTGTAATACCCTCCTTGCTGAATCATTTCAGTATTCTTCACCAAATCGCTTTCTTCTTGGTTCATCATGTATATTTCTTTATCACTTGACTTCATCCGTTTGGGATTAATTTGATGTCCTTCATCTTCATCATCATCTGGCAAATCCGACAGTCTTCCCTTTCGTTTATAATCAGCATTTTTGGCAAACCTTTGGACTTGAGGATGTCCGATAAGTCGCAATAAGGCGGAAAGTAAACCGAGACATTCATCAGTATTATGACCCGCCGACTTGTGGTATGAACAATATTTTGTTTTGTCAAGTCTCTCTTCAGGAGTTCTGACAGGTCGAGGGTCAGGAAGAATTTCTTTCCCTTTTAATTCTTCAAATATAGTTGCTGCTCCTGCTGAGAATACCGTCTGATAACTGGATTTGATTTCATTAAGATATTTGGTTCTAGCATCTTGCACCTCGGGCATCTTTGGATTCCCAAATCGAGACTTATTTGGTTTGAAGATTTTATTTTTCTTCTTCTTCGACTCTTGTCCGACATCCGACTTAGGTGAAGAAAAGTCGATATTTGGAACCGACATTGATTCCTCGGCAATAATATGTTGTTGAGCTCGGACCAAGAAGTCTTGAAACGAAGTCGGTTTATTCTGACAGATACTCCAACGGAACAATGAATTTGGCTTCAATCCAGCTATAGCCGTGACTAACAGCGTTTCGGGATGACATTGTTCCATATTTTGTATGCGTTCGTTGAACCGAGTTATATAGTCTTTAACGCTTTCATCGTCTTTTTGTACGATATTTGCAATTGATTCTTTGGGAATTAAAGAAACCCGGGCCCCAATAAAATGAGATCGAAAAGCCGTTCTCAGTTGTTGCCATGTGGAAATTGAACATCGGGGTAAAGAATGATACCACTTTTGAGCTCATGGTCCCAAAGTTAATGAAAACATCCGACATCTGAGTGCCTCAGTTGCCCCATGAAGGTCCATCCAAGATGTATACTGACCAAGATGAGCATCGGGATCAGAAGTTCCATCATACAAACCGATCTGTGGAACCTTTACCTTGGTTGGAAGTGGCTCCCTGGTCAAATGAGGGGCTAAAGGAGTCTCAACTTCGTAATGTGTTCCTTCCATCGTTGTCATGTGTCGTCGTGGTTCTTCATAATCATCTTGCCGAGTTTCTAACTCAGCAATTCTTTTTCTTAACATCTCCAGCTCCTCAGACTCACGTCTTAGACGATTTCTTTCGATTAAACGGTGTAACTCGTTCTGCTCACGACGGGTATGATTTTGTTCCAGAGTACGCCGCAAATCAGACGGTTGATTATGTTGTGATATTTCTGGTAACGAAGGAGCTGGTTGTCGTGGTCGGCGTCCAGAATGACTTTCTGCAGTGGCTTCCGATCGAACTGCTTCTTGAATATGAGTTTGTACGGGAACTACTCCACGGTTTTGAAATGTTACGTCATGTTGTGATTCATGTCTGCGTGAATGAGATGTTGCGTGTGATGTAGCGGGAATATCATTTCTTCGTGGAACTGATGTAGGATGAGTTTGAGGATTAACCGCTGCAGTTGGTTCTATTCTTGTTCGTGCCATAAAATCAGTTAAATTTTTCAAGAACTCTGGATCTTGAAATAAAACTGAATAATCAATTGACGTAGATGGCACGGCAGAATTTCCAGTTGTATGAGTTGGATGACGATTGATCCCAGTATCTGGATTTCGCTCATTTCGCCCAGAATTTGACATCCTTATTATATGTTGTATGGTCAGACAATCAACTGATCGGAGGTGGCCGCCCTTCCTCTAGCGCCAAACTGTTGTTGTCTTGAATTAACAACTCAAAATTAAATACAGCTGATGTTAAGAAAGCTAAGATATGCGTTCAATTTGATATTATTTGTTATATTCACAAGAGTACAGGAGTCGGTTATGTGTTGAAAACCGAGATTATCTTAAGTCCGTGTACAATGTGTTCCAAAAAGATCTGAAAAAGATCCTCGTACTATCATAAATTCTGCTATTTATAGTACGGTAATTTTTGTCTTCTTGCTCGAAACGGATAAAGACGCATTTAATGTTGAGCTGCTTCACTTTAAGCGGTGGGAAACATCAATGATTACTTTTTTGTTTTGCTGGTCCAATCAGACGCGTCCAATGATTACTTTCTGTTCGGATATTTGGACTTTGCGGTAGTCGGTTGAAATAGAGGAACCCGATTTCGTCATAATATTTGTTGGACTGAAGTCGGTCTACTTGTATTAGCTTCAGATATCGGTTCTTTTGATGATCTTCGGAAGTCGGTAATTCTTCACAAGTCGGTAATTAATTCTAATTAATACCGACTTGCTGTAAGTTCATCTTCTTTAATTGATTATTTCTTCAACAGTGATTAATCTTTGTCTTTAATTTCTGCAATCAAGTCGGATATCAACAGATCTGCTGCAAATGGATGGGCTAAGTTGGAATGTTGAGCTCTTGTATCACATATTTGATGGAGAAACTGCAGAGACTATATTGAAAATCAACAACCTGCAGCCTCATTTGGAGGACGGATGGAAATGGCTTGGTGCTAAAAAAAAGGTAAGTTTTCTGTCTCCACAGCTTATAACTCTCTCATTAAGAAAAAAAATTCCATGCTAGACAGACCCGAGAGCAGCTCATCTAGCTTAAGAGACATGAAGATTAGAGCCAGGACTTGAAAATTACAGATCAAGGGGAAGATCAAACACTTCATTTGGAAGTGTATATCCAGGACTTTTACCAGTTTGCACCAATCTGTGTAGTAGAGGACTTGATGTGGACCCTATTTGCCCGGTTTATGGTGAGGATGCAGAAACAATTGCTCATGTGTTTTGGCAGTGCAACATGGCTCAAATGGTTTGGCAAATTTCTCTTGTCAGTTGGGATTGCTTTTCCTTACCTAGAGCCTCATTTTCAGATTGGTGGTGGTCCATGTGTTCTTTGAGTTCAAAATCGATTGATGAAAGTAGGATACAGCTAACTATTTACCTGCTATGGTGGTTGTGGAAATCCCGCAACCTGTGGGTGTTCCAGAAGCAAAGACTCCGTAGGCTTTGTCTTGTTAGACAAGTTATCAGGGAGTGGCAGGAATTCATTGCTATTTAGCCATTATGTGCAGGATTGGTTGAGATGATCTAGGTCTGTTTAGACAATTTTTCATCTAGCTGGGCTTATGTTTGGATTATCTTAGTATAGAACTTCAGCTTTGTTCTGCCTATGCTAGTATTTGGCATTTAGACCTCGCTTGTGTGGTCGCCCATTTTATGCGTTGATTTTAATTATTGTATTGAAACTTTGTACCAAATTTTCCACTTTTAATGAAATGCCTATCGTTTCGNTCGGAATCTGAAAATTAAAAATCAATTTCGTTTGAAAATCTAAACTTTTCATTACCTAAAATTGTACCTAATGATCAAAAATAAAAAATCATTTTTATCTAAAAATTTGAATCATTAAGCACCTAAAATTGAAACACAATCAATTGATTCCGACCTAATTACTCAAAAGGTTGAACATTTGAGTTGAACAAATTATGGAAACATTATATAAACCGCACGAAATAAATGAAACTCCAGCCCCATCACCTCTTCCATGGGAAGGGAAAGGGAAAAAAAAAACTTTTTCCCATCCGAACTATCACGATTTTGGCGCTTTACCATACAAACTCTTTTTTTTTTTTGGCAAACCACCATATTAACTACTCGCTTTGTTTACTTTGCCCTCCAAAACCGTATTTAAAGTTGTTTTGTAGGAAAAAAGCTGATTTAGAAGGATATTTTGGGAATTGCAAATTTTTAAAATATTACAAAAGTACCCAAAGGACCAAATCATAATTTATAGACTTTTCAAATATAACAAATTAGCCCCTCTTCTTTGTCAAATTCTCACCTATTAACTTATTTTTATTCATTTTCATTTTTTAATTTAAAAAAAAATCAATAAAATCCAGCCTCTTGAATCCGTCCGTCAACACAATTGCCAAACCCTCACCGCCGCACCTCATCCCTAAAAAACTCCTCAGGAGGTCGACGAAAACCCTAGCCGCCGCCCCATCCGAGCCCTCCAGCACAACCCAAAACCATAGCCGTCGCCGCCCACGTCCCAATCTGAGCCCTCCTCCAGCACAATTGTAAACTGCAGCTCTCCGACGAGACCCCCCGCGTCGAGTTCATCACCTCCAGCAAAGGCGGCAAGACCAGCACCGCTGCCCAAATTGGCCTCTCCCTCGCGCGCTTCGACTTCTTTGTCGTCGCCATTGACGCAGACATCGGCCTCCGCAACCACGACCTCCTCCTTAGCCTCGAGAACTGCATCAAATAGATCCTCAATGGCGATGAGCCAAGGCTTGGAGAAGAAGAAGTTGGATCAAGAGGATTGGGGATTTTCTTCTTCGATTTCCCCAATTTCGGCTCGGCGACGCGACGGCGGTGACAGATTCGTTCAACCGATCAATCTGTGCTCGAGGTATTTCTCGTCGGGCCTGAAATCAGAATTCTTGAGGACACCGGAGTGCAGGAGGCCGGGCAGACAGAGAAGGGTGCAGGTGTTCTTGATTCATTTGATTTTCTTAATTTTTTGACTCGAAAGATTATACAAGGGGAAAAAGATGTCAGTTCCCAATGGCCTGGTGAAGGCCCTCAAAGAAACTTTTATGGGAACATAAGATTCAGGAGATAATGAAACAAATTGGCGCTCGGCTTCATCCCTCAAAGTAACAGATTGTAATGTTGCAGATAAGAAGGCAGTCTAGATAGTTCCAGTTACAAATCATCACACTAAATAATTTTTTTATTTTTTATTTTTTTAAATATATCAAATTCCTAAAATACCCTCAAAAAACTGGTTTCAATGAGGTGAAATCGGGCTTAAACCTAGTATAGGGAGCAATTTGACAAACTCGCATAGTTGAGGTAGTGGTTTGCCAAAAAAAAAAAAGTTTGTAAGGTAAAGCGCTAAAATCGTGATAGTTCGGATGGGAAAAAGTTTTTTTTCCTATTTTTTATAGTGGATGTTTTCACTTGTGTTGTCAGCGTGAATGTACACTAAGTTGGCATTATAGTATTTTTCTTATTTATATATTGGTTTTTGTGTACAACACCACGTACCCTGGTCACCGACTCTCTTTCGGTAATTGTTTTTTTGGAGAAATAAATGCGAGTGATCCATTACATTGATAGACATAGACTGATCAGCGCAGTTCTCTTTTATTTTTATTTTTCCAACGCTTTTGTGCGGCTGTAATTTTAGTCTGCCCTTAGGCCCCTTACCTCCTCTCAACATTGAGTTGAGTGTCTCCCTAATTTGGGATTAGATAGACACACCAACCACCTCCTAAATCCTATCCCATCTATATATATATAAAGAGGTTGTTGGAAAAATACATTAATAGAAAGTTTGACCAAATAAATATAATGTTTGACTTACTATTAATGGAAAGTTCAAAAAAACACATGTGAATCTTTAATAACAAAATCTAAATCCTATTTTTTTGGTAACAAATTTGGAGATTCTTATGGCAAAATTTGAATCCCATTTTTTTCGTATCATATTTTATTTTTTTACCAAAATTTAAATCATATCTTTTTTGGTAACAAATTATTCTTATGCAAAAAATGTGTCAATTATTTATAAAAACAATTCTAAATACAAATTAATTTAAAATCTGTGCAAATTGGATATAAATTTAGGAAGCAAATAGTTATATAATTCTTAACCAATTCTTCCAATCTTATTGAATAATTTTTTCTTTCAAAAAAAATTGTGTAAATTGGATAAAGTCACGTGAAATTTTTATTTTAAAATAAAATTGATATTTGGACGGGATGTACATTCAAAATTGTGTCCACATTTTATGGTAACAAAAGCAGTTCATCATTGATATTTAAAGTCACCTTATCCAATTATTTAGGAAAAATTGTATACAACTTTTTAGAATTTAAGTGCATCGATGTTTTTGGATTCATATGTTTTTTCTTAACCATGTTTTACCGAGATTTTGGTAAGTTCATATTTTTTTTTTCTTTTTTTTGGTTAAGTTCATATCATTTTCTTTAGGAAAGAGATAGTTGCATATTTATTTTATTTTGTTATTAGAATTATTTTCAATTCAATTTGTTTGATACAAAAATTGGTGCAATGTTAGGAAAATTTGGTTGCATTTTTAGGAAAAATTGCTAATTTTTTTTATTTGGTTTAAAAAAAAAATTGATCAATTTGTTTGATAAAAAAATCGGTTTATTGGTAGGAAAATTGGTTTCATTTCCGGACTAACTAGTGATTCTTTTCAATTTTTCTTAATTGAAATTTAGAATTAGATTTAAAATAAATAATGGGTGAAGATCCCTAAAAAATTCTACTTTTTTTTCTACTTTAATTTTGTTCAGTAAATAAGATCCTTTATTTTTAAAAAATTTGTTAACTAATAACTAATAATATGCAATTTTGGATAAATTTGAACACCTATGTAGTACTTTACGTGCCAAAGAATCAAATCAATAATGTTGTACATAAGGAAGTGTTTAATAACATATAAATTTCATTTTTCATGAAATTTTTAATGGCCTGAGACAATTTAAATACAAAAATACTTTTTAAAAAATATATAGGTAATAAATGCTGTCGTGCATCGCACTGGCACCGTACTAATTTAAATATAAATATAATGGGCAAATTTTCCCTGACGCAAATATTTGTTTGGGATTTTAGGATAACATACGTTAAATTCCTGTGAACGTTCTGTTCTACCAAAGAATAATGGATGGATCAAATAAAAGAATACCTACGGACAATTTATTCTCTGATGTAAAAATAGTACAGCCTACCTGTAGTTTGAGCAAGAAACAGGAAAAAGCCACATACAATGGTGTACATAAAACGATGACAAAGAACAGGTTAAGTTGCTGCTTCTCGCACAAGTGGTCCAATGAATGTGAAATAATTGTTAGCTTCTGCAGTGTTTTTCTTTGGGAGATGACAGATATTTGACAAGTTCCAACATTTTGTTACGGCTTTGACAACTTAGTTGCAGGGAGATGTAATCTAGCTCTTAGAGGTCTAGGTGCTCGACTTTTTTTGTTAAATCCTCTGACACATACAAACCCTGTGATGCAATTTTTTGAAAATTAAACTTGTATAATTACAAATATACAAC